ATTAAGATATAAATATAAGAATTATTATAATATTATTTTAACATATATTCAGTCATTATTTTACAATTAAAATTGTATCCCACAAGTGGGATCCTGGCTGTTCTGTAAGTTACAAGAAATTTATAAAAATTCAATATATAATTTAGGTTTCACATTGATGAGAAAGTTGTCTGTGGCTTTTAGCTAAATTGAAATTTCTGCTTGTTCTTTTATTGCACACACATTACAGGATTTTAAATTGTAATGTCTTGAGTTTTGTTATTATAAATAAATAAATAAAATAACATAAATGTAGTTGGAACATACACAATTTGAAATATGTCAGTACTATTTAAGTTTTTGATCAAACACCTGTTTATTGTCACATCCTTGAGATGTGTCATGAAGAATGTCTTTGGAAATTTTATGTACTCTACAGAGTACACCTTTTCAGTCTCTCTGATACTGATTCAAAATGTATGTTTGTGTTTTTAGATTTTCAAGAAAGTGGCTTTTGTCACCATATGGGTTGTTGTGGTCTGTGCTAAGAGTTGTTTTTGTCTAGTTAGTCCTCACTGATGATGTCGAGAAATTGGCTCCACCCATGAAGGATGAGTGTGTGGAGTGGAGTGTTTCGTATGAATCCAGAGTAAGTGCTTTGCATGAGGAAAGTGCCAGTTCCGTTGACAGCTCCGATGAAGATGAGGGTTGGATTACTTTTTTGTAAGTGTCATAGTATGTCACTGTTATCTCATTTGTGGATATGGAGGTTTTGGCAATTTCAGACATGTTAGTTCAGTCGACAACTATACAGACAAATATCTCTTTTACTGAGCTTCTCAAGTTGTGGAGATGGTTATAGACCTATTAAGTGGATTAGAGATTTTTTAATAAACAAATTAAATACTTGATGAATTTCAACATAGATTTACATATAGAAAATCAACAAAAACTACAGTGCAGTTTGTATACAGTCCACACTACAATCTTTAGATGATAACTACACTTAATGGCATAATATTAGACTTGACTAGTGCATTTTATACTATATATGCATTTGATATTCTATTGAGTAAAATGCACAAAATAGGAGTTAAAGGAACTGCTCATGACTTACTTGATTTATCTTGACTTGCCCACTTTCTTCATAATTCTTGTTATTTCCATCTCTGATTTACCATTTTTTTAGGCCTTGTTCTGACTCATCAGATGGGATTATATTTGAGAAGGATGAAGTGGTAACATCATGTTTGCAGTCTCAAACTGGATCTTGCAGTGTGAGTGACACAGATTGTGATCAGAAGAAAGATTCTGCTGTTGCACACTGCAAAGAAATTCAGTTCATGTTTATTCAAATGGAGTTTTGTGAGAAGAGTACTTTAAGGTAAATAAATGAGTCTCTTGTTATGCCATAGCACAGGTAATCAATGTGGGGTATGTTGATGATGTAAACAGCAGGATTTTATAGTGGGTATAAATTTTACCATATTGCATGTCTGTTTTAATTGGAAGGTTCCTGAGAGCAATTGGTGCATGAGATCTTTTAAACTGATTACAGGCAACTTAATTTAGAAACAGGATTTTTCACTGCTTAACATTATTCATTAGCTTGAGAGCTGGGTACTGTTGCCTATTGTAGGACTGCAATCGACAGTAGATTATGTGAGGATGAGGAACGAGTGTGGCGGCTGTTCAGGGAGATGGTTGAAGGTTTGGCTCACATCCATCAGCAGGGTATGATTCATCGAGACCTTAAACCAGTAAACATTTTCCTTGATTCAAACGATCATGTTAAGATTGGAGATTTTGGACTGGCCACAACCAACATCCTTCCAAGGTACATTTTGAACTCTTATACTGATATTTCATAGTAGTCATATTACACTTTGTATTGGACAGTATGTTAGAAGAAAGTCTTTTTTTCTCCTTCATGCTTTTCTTAACGCATTTCTTTTTTCCATTTTAACCTCCTTTCTTCTCCCTGTTATATGCTTCCTCTTGTTTCATTTCTGTCTCTTTCTTAATCTGGGCATCTTAGCAGTCATGATCTTCCATAAATTTAGTTTGATCAGATGCTTCTACTCTAAATTAGTCCAAATTGTGATGCTTGTGTTTCCGTTCCAGACATCTGGCCTCAACTCCTGATGGCAAGTTGACAGACATACCTTCGTTTTCACAGGAGATGGGTGACGGCTCCTTAACTGGGCAGGTGGGAACAGCTTTATATGCTGCTCCTGAACTCACTACATCAGGCAAGAAGGCAATTTACAATCAGGTAATAAAACTTGCTTCATCTGCAGTTAAGTTACTGGCATACTTTGGAGATCATGCTTTCCTGACAAAGTCATGAACTTTCTTTGTAGTTGTCACATTGCATAAGTTTATGTATTGATGTAACAAGATCTTGTCTCTTTCAAAAGTGATTTTTATATTATGTGGTGCAAGTGTCACGTATCTATAATGTTATTCCAATGTCTTGCTCACAGGGTCACTTTTATCACTTGAGCCATCTACCAGAAATATATGTTACAAAATTGGTTTTGATGTGGCTAAAGAGACACCACTCCCTAGAGAAGCAATGTTATATGCCAGCTTTCACTAGATTATAATTTAATGTTTTCTTCTATATCAGTTGACCAAAGGAGTGTCTGTAGAGTGTAGCATACTTTTGTTGCTGTCATTTCCCCCAAAATTTTAGATGAGTTATATTGTTCTGTCTCCAGACCTCACACACTGCTGTATCTGTCTTATTAAGACATAACCACATTCTTCATTTACTGTTGACTGTACTGTAACAAAACAGTATATGTACAGCTCTCTGCACTAAAACAAAGCTTTATATGCAACTGTGTTTAAATATGTAATACAGTTGAATGATTCCTGTTTTGTTTCCAGAAAGTCGATCTCTACAGTTTGGGTATAATTTTCTTTGAGATGTGTTATCATCCACTTTTAACAGGCATGGAGAGAGTGAACATTTTAGTAAATCTTCGGAACAATGAAATTATTTTCCCCTCTGATTTTACAGAAGATGAAAGACTGCAACAAGTTTATATTATTAGGTATGTACTGTGACCTCTGAATGCATTTGATATTTTGTCCTGTAAAAAAAAAATTATATTAATTTCACACTGTAGTTTATTTCTTTTAATAGGGTTTCATATACAGTGTAACTGCTATAGAATGAGATAAAAATTCAGAAAAATGATCATGTTAATGGGTGTTTGTAATATGCAAAAATGGTAGAAGTACATGATGATTTTGTATTTTTCCGAGTGTGTTTTTTATATTTGTTAACCATAATGTGAGATTGTGATGCTTTATTAGTGAATTCCAAGTAAATTATTCTTAATCTGTATTTTTCTTTGTGTTTTTGTTATATTTGTGACTGTAATATTAGCCTATCATGTTTTAATGGTGATCCAAGTTAATCTCATTTAAATAACATCCATCTTTCAAGTGCATAATAGGTGACAAGTTTAGTTCATATATTTTGAATGTAAATAAAAATTTGGGTATAAAAAAATTAAAAAAAATTAATGTTATATGATCTATACCTTTCAACATTTCTTACAGCTACCTGATTGGGCTGATTACCCATTGAATACATTGTGTTGCAAACTAAGTATTCAAGTGAAATTAAATATATATTTATATGTTGCAAGATGAAATGTTGAATAATTCATAAAATATAACAGTTGCATCAGTATTGTCGTACACACGACTGAGTGACATACTCGTTGTCCTAGAATGATTATTCTTGTTCCAGTTGGTTACAAGTGTTATGCAAATTATTGTATTATTTATATATCTCCAGCTTGCACTAAATTCAGCTCTAGAGAAGTTTGTTTTCCCAATTTAAATAGTAGGCTGAAGTGCCAAAAGATTCAGAATTTTAATTAAATAATTGATGTATTTAGTAATTAGGTTATGAAGTTGTGGACTAGATTGAACTGGCTCATTATAGGGTGCAGTGGTAAGCTTCTGTGAAAATATAATTAACTTTTGAGTCTGACAAGCAGGAAATTTCTTAACTAGGTTAGTGACTATCAGTTCATTGATGTGTATGTGGAATCATTAAATTTCTGGCTTCACTGTAACTCTCAAATTGTTATGTAGGTGGCTGTTAAATCATGACCCAAGTCAACGTCCAACATCTCTTGAGTTATTGCAGTCAGATTATGTCCCACCGCCTGAGCTAGAAGAAGCAGAGCTGCAGGAAATGGTTCGTCACACGTTGTCCAATCCACAGAGCAAATCATACAAATATCTTGTAGGCTCTTGCTTTAAACAGGTAGGTGGAAGCTGTTAGCAGTCATAGGTCTGTCTGTATGTCTGTTGGAATATGTGCACAGTGTACATTGAAAACAAAAACTTGCAATCTGTCTATAATAAATAACCAAACAGCAGTGCACTGTATTGTGTTTCTTCTGTTTGTGTGACAGGAGGTAACGCGAGCAGAAGACATAACATATGACATGAATGTTGGCAAGAATGCTTCATTACCTATGCTACTGATGCTGCAAGAACTGGCAAAAGAAAGAATTGCACTAGTGTTCCAGAAGCATGGTGCCACCTGTTTGTCAACTCCTCTCCTCATGCCACAGAATGTGTTATATGACAATACAGATTCCTGTGTGCGCCTCATGTCTCACTCTGGTGGCATCGTCACCATCCCACATGATCTCCGCGTTCCATTTGCACGCTATGTGGCCCGGAATGGGATTACATGTCTCAAGAGATACACAATTGATAAAGTGTACAGGGAAAAAAGAGTATTTGGTTTTCATCCAAGAGAGCTGTATGAATGTGCATTTGATATTGTCACTCCAATCACAGGTATGTGCAGGGTCTGCCATTGACATTTTCTATGATTCATGTTGATTTTTTCCCCCATCTACATGTATGTCCCCAAAGTTCCTTACCTATGCTTTCTTAGTGGCAGCTGTTTACAGCCTTATTCATTTAATTGCTCCAGCAACATCAGGACAACTAACATGTAATCTAAGAATCTAGTTTTCTCTCATGTTGTTTTCCTTTGTCTTTATTTATAGTTTATTTAATTATGATTTCAGTATCTAGACTTTTTATGTCAGATGAGAGGATGACAGCGAGTAATGAAGTGGAAAGGATGCAGAAGGAAATGGTCATGGCTTAATTTAAGGTACTCTCCTGGCCTTTGCCTGGGGGGACTGAGGAAACCATGAAAAACCTTAAACAGGATAGCTGGTTTTGGGCCGAGATTTGAATCTAGACCTCACAAATGTTAAGCAGGAGATCTAACCACTTAACTTCAATGTTTGGATTCTCTTTGTCTTCATTTTCCCAGTCAAACTTGTTATGAATCTCATATCTGAATTTTGTTGTCTAATAACTTTATGTTACTATTGTTATGACTTTGTCTTCTGTATGTTATGTAACCTTCTTAATTTACTTTGGTGATTGTCAGTAAGTACAGTGTTCCATGTTTGTACTGCATTACTGTATGTTCCTTTTGTTGCAGGAACTCTGATGGCAGAAGCAGAATTACTTTCTGTAGCTTGGGAAGTTGTGAATGAGTTCCCTAGTCTTCGAGACAAGACCTGCCTGATTCGTTTAAATCATGCGTCTCTCTTGAAAGCAATTTTGATACATTGTGGGATAGAGGAAGAGAAGTACCATGACATTTACATGATCCTTAGTGAAGCTAGGGTGAGGCTTGTGAAAACAAGAGATATTAAACTAACAGTCACTATATATGAGATTTTTGTAAAATTGGTCAAGTATGTAGATACACAGAAGTCATCTTAACAACCAAAAATAGGATGGTCATTCTTGCACTTTTAACTCTGTGTTGGCATTCAAACAGCCTGCATTTTGCATACATCAGCTACTTAATTTTACAATGATTCCAATTTCCTGATGTCTGCAGATATTGATGTTTATTTTATTTCAAATCTAAAACTTCTTGATGATGGTGAAGAGTCATTTGAATAAAAATTTCCTTGGATATTATCCATCGTCTAGTAAAATATAAAATATAAAACATAAAACGACGTTTTTTTATTCAAATGTTTATTTTATTTATTGAATAAATCATAATTTGTGGGATCCACAAGGAACTTTCTTAAAAGTTCTGAGATCAACATTCTTGTGCTTCTTTTGGTGACAAATTCTCAAGGCAGGGTTATTCTAAATTTATCACGCATCTATCTCCTTGTTGTCGAGTCTTGCTTCACAAGTCACTTGATATTCTGGTACAAAGGGTTAACAGGCTACTACTTCTGCTGTGTTTCCAGGATGAGAAATACTCTAAGTTTCAAGTACAGACTCATTTGATCAGTCTTTGTTTAAATGACCAAGCAATGGTTACATTGTTTAGTCTTATTGAGACAGAGAGTCCGATCTCCAAAGTAGCCAGTGCTTTCCGTGTTATTACCAAGAGGAAGGGTGAGGCAGCATCATTAGCCAAGCAAGGCTTCCATGAGTTAGAAACAATTATTATGAATGCAGAAGCCCTAGGAGTGAAGGTAATTTGATAATTTTGTTTGTTTGTAGTATGAAATGTCATAAGGTATCAGCTTATACTTATTTTACAGGTTTAATCTGAGAAGAGTGTGCTGTTATGATTGCGGATATCACCAAACTGGCACATTTGTTCCTTCTCTTCTTATTTGTTATAAAGGCATTCCCTACTTTTGTGACATTTGTTTTCTAGTAGACACAATATTATAGGTGATTGGTACATTTCTGAGTATGGGCTATAAACTAAATTTTGCTCACTCTAAAAATGAAAATATTGGTTTTAATCATTTACCTCTGAACCACATACAACTGATATAATGCTGGAAGGAGAAGATGTAAATTTTTAATTATTCTAAAGGCTGTAACAGTTGTTGAAGTTGTCATATGCATTTCTTATAAATGTTTAAAAATTTGTAGCTGGAATACTGACACACATTTTATTTGTGTTTTTGAATTTTTTTGATTAATTCATTGATGGGATTATGTAAACAGTGTAAATCATTCCTTCATATATCAGAGCCTGATCATAAACTGTATGGTAATTTTATTGTATTTTTAATATGCTGTATTCTTCTCTGAAATTTGTCACATTTCCATCTCCTGACTCCTGTGTTGCAGTGTCCTATTGTGGTTGCCCCAGGGCTTGTATATAATGTGCAGCAATACTCTGGTATGATGTGTCAGTTTGTATGCGAATTGAAAAAGAAACGAAGAAGAGGTGGGTTGGATGTTATTGCAGCTGGTGGGACATACGATAAAATGCTGGCTGACTTCCGGTAAGTTCTGTTAACAGTATGTGGAACAAGTGTAATGTTGCTATGCTTCAATAACTCACATTTTTATCCTATTCTCCGAGAATTTTCCTGAACCACCACAATTTCTGGATGATTGAATGCTGGAATAAAGGTTTCCCAACTGTATACAATATCTCGAAGAAAATTAAAATTTTTCCCCAGCTTTTGGAATTTGGTGATGCCACACCTAATGCAGTGGAATGTAATAAAGTTCATGATTCCTTGTTGGGCTTTATATAGTGTCTAGTGTTAAGTAACAGGGAATCTTAATGGTGTATCAAGTGTTTAAAAACTGATCACGGAAGTTCAAGGATTCATGTCATTTGTGGATATTGTTGATACTGGGAAGAAGTGCATATTAATGTCCTATACTCTGCTTGCAGTAGGACACTAGACATGACTAGTGTGGCTTCAAAGGAGGTAAGTCAGGCTGCAGCTGGGATCAGCATCTCACTTGACAAGATAGTGTCTGCGTTACAAGATGAGAATAATGTACCAGCTGTGGATGTCGTGGTCTGTTCCGTTGGTAATCGGTCCATGGTGAAGGAGAAGGCAGCTGTAATCCGAGAGCTGTGGGCAGCTGGCATAAAGAGTTCTCTCATTGACAGTCTCCAGGTATGTTGTGATTTAAGGTCAGTTAACCTTTTCACTGCTGACATTGTGTTGTTGCAGATGCTTTTAGTTATGGTCAGTTCTGTATTCCTAGACTGTGCAGGCCTTGGCACTGACATGGACTCAGTGATTATATACTACTGCAGCTGATGATGATGATGGAGTAGGGGGAATAAGTTGCATAATGCAGACTGCAATTAGAACTCAAGTTGTACCTTTGTTGGGTGGGGGAAGGGAGAGACATGAAGTGGATTCAGCCACCCTTGAACTTAAGATAGAATGATGCATTCAGTTACACAGTTGTACTACTGGAATTTTTGATTTCTTATTATTCTTTACTTGTTTCTAATTAGGCAGTGTGTTCTATTCTAATTGAGCTTCAAAATCAAAATTTTGTTATTGGGATTAGTAGGTCTTCACCACAGTTTGTAGCCCATGTTGTAAAGTAGTTTTATTCTTCCAGCCACAACAACGACAACAGTAATAGTAAGAATACCAATCAGCAGCATTTGGAAAGAAAAAGCAGCTGTCCAGTGTCAGTACTAACATATCTGTTTTGATATATTTACCAGATATCTTGTCTGAAATTTGTTAATTGTTTTACCCAGTTACTCCAGGCAAACGAAAGGATAGTAACTTTAAATCAACACAATCACTTCCTCTATTCCAATTTACCTTACTAGTCTCATTCCGTGCTAAACAACCATTCCACTTGTTACAGCATAGCTCAAATGAATCTGTTTTTGGAGCTTCTAGTCGATAAAAGATGCATCCAACACTCCAGAGGGTTAGGCTGAGTGTTCCCACCTCTGTACAAATCAATAACTTGTTTCAGAAACTGTCTTTCTGAGTTAATCTTAACAGGTTTTTGATCGTTTTATGTGCAGAGTTTGGAAGAAATCAAGGACTACTGCCAAGAAAATTTAGTGCCTCACATAGTTATGCTGAAGGACATAGAGACAGGGACACTTCGGGTTTGTAGTTGGGAAAAGGAAAGGTTAGTATTGACATAAAGAAACCTGCAAAATATTTGCACTGAAATATTTTATCTTTTATTTTAATAGCATTTATCTTTCTATACAGATTTTAGTTGTTTTTTCATACATGATATTTCATAATCCGTAGAAGTATGTAGTGTATCTAAAATGACACCAGAGTGAACATGCAACAAAGTTGTGAGCAAAGTCTGGCTAGGTGTATGAGATGAACCTGGACACATGTAAAAGTTGATATGGGATTGCCTGGCAGCAGAAATGTGGGAAAGTATGAAAATGTTTTCATCATGGATTCTGTTGTAAAGACTCTTCTCTTTTAGGCTCATTATCATTAAGCATCCTTGTAGCAAGATTTTCAGCCCATTGCTTAGTGGCATATGTATAATTTTTTCTTCTTGCTGGACTTTTGGTTATAACTAACATTAGAAGATGAGGAAAAGAATGTGACTGTCAAGAAGTTAAGATGAAAATCAGGAACATGAAAACCTCCTAAACTTAAAGTAATTTCTTTGTACAGTTTAATACTGGAATTTTCTCCATACCAGATGAAACATTATGCTGCCATTAGGCAGGTTCAAATAAAGAAATGCATCATGTGAAGATGAGGTGTGCAGTAACTTAAGAAGGACTTTGTAAGATCCGAGGTTCTTACACCATTGAAGGTTCTGATGTTGGTCTTCTGGGCTGGACTTGTTGGTAGATACCAATGTTTTAGAAGCATTGTGTTTCTCCAAACTTCTGATACCTACCTCCAAGGCCATATGGTGTTACGACCCAGCAGACTAACATCGAACTGTGATGAAGGACTTTCTGTAAAGGATAGTTTTTCTTTTGTCTAAGAGCACAAGACATTTGCATAACAGTCATAAAAGACTGCAGTTGTTTTTTTGTGTTTTTCAGCACTGATGTTTGAGATTTGTGAGATGTTCTTGTTTTAGAATGGGGAAAAGAAGGGTTTCTACAAGGGTGGACTGTCAAGACAGCTAAAAAATTGGAATAAAAGCTGCAGAATCAGAGTGGTGGAAAGGAAATTGTATGTTTATGTGACAGAGAAAGAAACAGCTGAGAAGTGTGTTAGCTAGTATTATTGTGTAGCATCAAGAATGTATTAGAGAAAATAATTTGCATAATGTTA